AAGAAAGGTATTCTTAGATTAGAGAAAAAACAAAACAAAAACAAATACCGTTGATACATTGTTAAATTCAAATAAAATGTGTTGTTTATTATAAAATTGGCAGTAAATTTTCTTTTCTTTCTTAATTATAATGAGTGCATGACAACTGGTAAAGTCTGATAGTAATGCTATAAGGCACAAAATATTAGGCAAACAATACACCATTTAAAGAAAAAGGAATGAGAGAGAAAACATTTCTGTTACTTTTAACCAATAGTAATCGTCCTTTAAGTTTTAAACTTATGCAACATTTACTTTATAAATATACAAAGGGATTATATGTAAATAAAAAGTATATTAAATGAAGTATATTGTCTATTTTAAAGTTTTTAATACAATCTGTTAAAATCTGCATTATAATTCCAAAATTGTCATCATATTATGATCTGATCTATATCTGCTGACCATATTTCTTTTTTTGCTAAATAATCTATTATTACACTGAACAAAGCATCGTTTGTACATCTTGTATGTTATCACATTATTTATTTATCAATTTCTGCTCAGGATAAAAAAAACAAGATACGTTTTAATATAGAAAAATGTAATGTTAATTTTAAGGAAAAATTTGATGTTTTGATTCCTGGAAACCCCATTCGTCGTATTTGTAGCCTCATAATTTGCATTTATAATACATAAAACGTACAAAACACTGCTCAATAATACACTGAAAAAATCTATTTCTGCAAAACTGTTGCAAAAAATTTGTGTTGAATTTAAGCCAACAAATTAAATTTAGTAATGCTCAGCTTAATTTCTTTGTTTAAATTCAGCCCAAATAAATTGTTTACAATCACTTAACATATTTAGTTAATCCAAGGAATCATTTTGAATAATTTTTTTCAGTGTACCATCCTTAGCGTTTTTTATTATTATTTTACATATGATGTCACAAACTAGTCAAGCTAATGTTTCCCGAGTAGGTTTCACTTACAATGAGCAGGAAACAACTTAATTTCTACTGCGGCTTCATTGTCTTTTCCCCATTATTCCATACAAAGCTCTATGCTGTTAATTTAAATGAATCCCCATTTAAAGTAAGGCATGCAGCCCTCTCTTGCAGGAGCATCTGGCTTATTTAAATGCAGTCTGCCAAAGAAAACACTTGTTTATAAATGTTTTCCTCTCTCTATTTAGATCTCCTCCAAACCCAAGTAAAGCTTTAACTGAACTGGACTAAGGTATTAAGAGAAAATGGGAAGAAAGTGTTTGAAGCAGCTTATTTATTTAATTGTTTACTTATTTAACCAGAAAAGTCTCATTAAGATACACTATTTCTCCAACCTCCTATACGTTAGCATTTGTGGTTGGTTTACAGAGCTTGAACATATAGATGCAAAGTATTTTATACAGTAAAATATCACTTTCAACATATATAGTTTTAAATTTAGGAATAGATGGTACAAACTACAAACTATCTTGTAACTCGTTCCATAAATATGGAGCAAAATGAAAAAGCAGGAACTTAAGTCAGATTATATCTGTTGATCTGGTAATATACAGTTGAAGTCAAAATAATTAAAACCCCTGAATTATTAGCCCGCCTGTTTGTTTTTTCCCCATTACTGTTTAACAGAAAGAAGCTTTTTACAGCAAATTTTTAAACATAATAGTTTTATTAATTCATTTCTAATAACTGATTTATTTTATCTTTGTCATGACGACAGTAAATAATATTTTACTAGATATTTTAAGACACTTCTATACAGATTAAAGTGGCATTCAAAGGCTTAACTAAGTTAATAAGGTTAACTAGGCAGGATAGGGTAATTAGGCAAGTTATTTTAACGACTGTTTGTTCTAGAGAATATCCAAAAAATAGCTAAAAGGGGCTAATAATTTGGATCTTAAAATGATTAATAAAAAATTCAAAACTGGTTTTATTCTAGCCAAAATAAAACAAACAAGGCTTTTTCCAGAAGAAAAAAATATTGTCAGACATACTGTGAAAATGTCATTGCTCTGTTAAACATCATTTGGAAGCTATATTAAAAAAATGAAAAAAATAAATAAAAGGGGGGCTAGTAATTCTGACTCCAACTGTACATATTTGTACACACTGTAAAATCCTCATTCCTACCTTTATTTTTTAGTTGAATCAAGAGTACTTTTCTAGTCATCTCAACATATTAATCAAACTTACTAAAATATTAAGTAAAAATTAAATGAAACCTTAATAACATATTAAAAACAAGTTAAAGCAACATAACAACATTTGTTGTCTTGATATTTTGTCATTCAGTTTTTTAAAGTGCAGTCTGTTAGCAAACTTAGCAACTTTATAATGGGATGAGCTTATTTTGCCATCATATTTACAAGAACAAATTTGATATAAAGTTTATTTCTTTGTTGGATACTATTATCTTTAGATCAACTCATTGTGCACTCGTTTGACTCACAGAGTGTAGAGTTCCCATCATCCATCACCTGGAGCTGGTTTGTGAAAACATTATTGTCAGATCTGACCATCCGTAACTGACGTTGAGTTCATTGTTTAGGGTCAGAAGCTAGGTGCACAGTGGCCTAAAGGTACATTCCTGACTCCAGAGCAGTGTTTGAAACACAAACCCTCATTGTGCAAGGTGGATTCACTGATCCTCTGGCCTATAAGCATCAGCGGATGCCCTCTTTTCATGTTCAAGTGTGAACTTGCATGTTATCATTTTACATGTAAGGAGTCCACTTTTATTTTTTTTCATGGCTTACCATTACGTTTTATATTTGAGCCCAGAGCTGATGTTACTGCTCTTGGCCAACGTGTCTTTTTCTATTGTAATCGACTAGACACGGTGCAGCCAGCCAGGAACTATCATTTTCAAACACATTCCTCTCCTGGATCATGCTGAAATGACATTTACCCAAAAATGCATTTTCCATTAGTGGACTGTGAAATATAAGATTTCATTTTTTATAAGATCTTGCCTGAAAGAAGGCAAATGTATGAAATAAAATCTGCCGTGATAATTTAGCTTTGTATTTTAGTAGAGGTCAACTGTTGCTGAGGTAATTCTATATCTGTTGAAATAAATCCATAATGCAGTAACATCTGAAAACTGACTTTCCACAACACGTTTGTTACTTTCCTTTATGAAAACCAGTATGTGTTTTATGTTCATAGGAAGTTAAACTAAAGCTGTATGAAACTGACTTAAAGATCTATCTATCTGACATTACATTATAAACTTTAATCTATAACTATTATTTATAAAAGAGATACCCAATTAATACCACCCATTCTCTATTCATGTTTAATGATTAGTGTAAAACCACAAAATACTAATTATCATTTGAAAATGTTGTATTTTTTCACTGTCCTTTAAACTATTGTCACATCCATAAAAAAGCAAAAACCAGTTCAAGGCATTTAAAAAGGTGGAAAATATATTAAAAAGCCTTTATTCACATGGCTAATTCTTAAAAAACGCAGGCTTTTTAATATTTTTTCCACATTTTTTGAGTGCCTTGGACTAATTTTTGCTGTTTATTCTGATGAATCCCTTTTTCCCAAAGAGCCCCGACACATAATTTAACTACCCCTGAGCACTTTTTGTTTGATTTTGGATTATTGTCATATCCACTTGTAAAAAAAATATATATGTTATTTAGTATAACGACTTATTATTTTATATATTCTAATAGCTAAAGCAACTGTCTTGATTTCTTTACACAACTGTTGTGCTGAGTAATTTTGGAATATTGTGTTCATGTATTAAACTGTTTTCATTCATTTTCCTTCAGCTTAGTCCCTTTATTCACCAGGGGTCTACTTTTTTTCATATTAATTAAGATATGCATCCAACATATATAAATTAACTAGATATACTAATGGAGACTCCAAAATTGAACATTTTGTTTTTGATTATGTTCTGCATTTATACAAAATTCTGTGTTGTTTTAAAATATAATAATACTTATTATTGACATTTTGTTACCTTTGAATTATAAGGTTCTATCTGCATTCTGAATGATTTTGAGGTATTAAGCTTCAAACTTTTTGCATTCCATAGCAAGCAGTCTTAAAAATCCCATAATGTAAATAAGTTGCCATTTAATAGGAATATGCCAATAACTCAATTTTGACAAAAATGTCAGATAGAACCTTATAATTCTAAGGTGACGATTTATCCAATCATTTTAAAGTTGCCAATCCGAATGCTCAAGACAAACCTGGACAGGCTAAATCCACTTACCTTGAATTTGCATCGAATTTAGCAATTTAAAATCCCTGCAAAAACATTTAATCATTACAGTTTGCACGCAAAACAGAGAGAAAGAGATGCTTGAATTTGTCTCAGCTTATTTTATGCAAACCTTCATGAAACTATAAGTGCAATATTGTTCAACAACAAAGTTCCTGGTAGTTCTTAAACACAATAATAAAAGTTTCTCGGACTTAATCTCTATGCTCAGTCATGCATAATCAAGAAATCATTAGCCGTGATGTGAGAGCCCAAATACGCGCGTCATGACCATATAGACTTGAAACAAAGACTGAGAAACAACAGTACAGTGGGATTTTTCTAACTCACTTTCTGCTCTGAGGTAATCCAAACCTTTCAGAAAGACCATTCCTGACCCATCACGCCCCACCCCCATCATCCCGCCCCCAACTTGACGTCGAGATTTGCAACAACAAACGGTCTGACCAATAGGAATCCCTTAAACTTCCGCAGGAGTAGAATGGATAAAGCAAAACTAGCGGGTCAGAAAGGGGCCAGTGTGTGAATCTGAACGCCGTGTTATTATCTGCCCGGGTCCCGATGCGTGCTTAATGACGGACGACAAGCGCACGCCCGTGAATGTATCGGGAAAGCGCGAGGATCGAGGCTTGCGAGCGCATTTGTATGTGAGCGCTAGACGCGAGAAGGCGAACTCGTGAGCTCTTCACTTCTGCCCGCAAGAAAAGCGGGAGGTGAACGGAGGAGTCACCGCGCTGTCACACGGACACAAGCCGGGGAGATGGAGTGAACAAGTTCGCAGCACTTTCCGCAAATCAGTATTCTTCTTTTACTTTTTTAATTTAAAAAAATCATGGATTACTGGAAAAGATTTTCATAACTTCACCAATTGTGGAACAAAGTTTTTACATTCGGATGGACCTTGCACAAACATGATCTAAGCTGAGGGATTTTCCCTCACTAGATGCAATGGAAATATGAAACATATCTGCTTGAAACTGACCTGACGCCAGCCAAACGATCACACATTTTGATATGGCAACTTGTGCAGAATTGGTTCGGGGGGCGCGCGCATTCGTTTGGCCTTTCGCGTGTGCGCTCGTGTGTTTTTGCTGTTTTTCCATCGCCTCCTCCAACCACCACGGCGGTCGGTTAATTTGCTGGCAGGCGATATTTAACTGCCAGTCGGAGCCCGAGTGTCATTACGCGTATGACCAGTATCTGCACGCCTGCGAGTCGATCCTGAACGGCCAGAGGAGGAAGTGTCCGAGTCACTGCATCTCGTCGCTGGTGCAACTCAACCTGACCAAGAGCGGCCCGGCGCTGGAGGACTGTAGCTGCAACAAGGACCCGCGCTGCCGGGAAATCAAACGAGCCATCGAGCCTTGCCTGCCCAAAACGAGCAACATGGGCTGCACCGAAGCCCGGCGCCAGTGCGAGAAGGACAGCCAGTGCCGAAGCGCGATGGGCGATTATTTAGTGCACTGCGGGAAACTCTTCAGCGGCTCCAGCTGCTCGAACCAGTGCCGCAATGTCATCGCGTACATGCGCAAACTCCCCAAAGCTCAACTCCTGGATACTTGCGTGTGTGATGGAACGGAGCGGACTATATGCGAGTTTATCAAAACTAGTATGAGAACGCTTTGCTTTGACTCTCCCCCCGTGGACGAGGAGGGCTCCAGCGGTTTGGACGATGACGAGCCCGGTGATGAGGATTACCTAGAGCCAGAACCCACGAGGAACACAGGTTCTGCTTTTGTGGCATGCTCTGTTTTGACTGTGGTGGCATCCATTTTGGCTCTGGTGCCGCTACCTTGATCACTTTGAAGTCGAGATAATGATCTGCTCCAACGGCTGTTCGGGAATAGTGCATTTTACCTTTTTTTTCTTCTGCTTTCCTGTTCTTTCACGGCAAGCTGTGTCAACATTTATTCCTTAACACTTTTTAGCTTTTGTTAAAATTTTAAACTAAGTAGTCCCATGCATATCGTAATTTTCTATTTGATTAGACGTTCATTAGTGAATGGTTGGTACAAATAAACAATAACAACAAAACCTAGCTATTGTAGTTTGACCATGATGACTACAAATTCACCATGGTTTGCTTCAGTTGTTAAAGTTTAACCACGGTATTAGTAGTTAAAACTAAACCACATACTACTTGTAACCACCACAACAAAAGCATGGTTACTGCACTTTTACTATAATAAAGCGTGGTAAATTTTTGTACCACTAAAAATCTAAAGTTATCAAATGCAAGTAGCAATTTTACTACTACCAACAACTGAAAGTAATGTGTAATGACAAGTCATATTGGCTACTGTTGGAAGAAAAATAAATAAATACATATTTAATTTAAAAGATTAGAATGTAACCAGTTCAGTAGATTCTACTATGTATTTGACTTTTCATGTCAGTAATAATGGATTAGTTACGCGTCACTGTAATGCATGCATTCTGATGCCCTATGAACCCACTAAAATCCAAAAATAGTTACTGTTGGATTATTTGCTAGCAAACAAAAAAGTATGTCAAATAATAAAAATAGATTTAAGTTGCTTTACTGAGTAAATGTTAATACAGCTTGACCAGATTTTTCTCCAAAGATTACAAGTTAAACTTTGTGTGACATTTAGTTGAATGTGGAAATTACCACATTGTAAACGTGTTTTGATTCACTATGCAAATTTACTGTTGCAGATTCGGCCCAGGTAAACAATGCCTTGTCTATTGTAATTGTCTATGATCAGCATAAAGTACTGATTCTGAAGATATTTAAGAGCAGGGATACAAAATATTTTAGGTCAGTCAACTGCCTTAAACACTAGCTTGCCTTATTCAAGTGCTATTTTGTAAAATACAAATTTATTTCCTTAAAGATATAGAAAGAAAAGTTTATTTTGTTACCTAGACCTTTTAACAGTGAAAGTTGTAATTATAAAACTGTGCACTGCCAATGTAAAACTAGATTTTTAAATATGTAAAGTATTTTTTATAAAGTTTCAAAAGACTTTGGATAAGTAACTTCTGTAAAAAACAAAAGTGTTGCTGGAATGAATGAGGAGTAGATCTCTATATTGCATTTGATAAATCTTCTAAAAAAAACTCCAAACCCAGAGACTCACAACAGAGAACTTTATTTTTGTTTAAAAAGTAAAACAAAGGGTGATGATTCCAGCTTTAAAGGGAAGTTAAATGTTTGTTGTAATTATTTGTCTTTTAAGATATTGTACAGTGTACAGATTTCCAGAGAATCTTTTAAATGTGTTATCTAAGATGAACTATTTACTGTGTAGAGATGTCTAAATCCACTGTATGACTGCCTCAGTGATGTTCTTTTTTATAGAAGGCATAAAAACTAAAGTACAAAGACTCAAACCGAGTATGTGTAATTTATTTATGATTGACACAACATCATTAGGACGATTCGCTGTATTGACTCCATGGGTGGATTGCGATGCTAATTTGAGAAAATGCTAGCTAGCGCAGCAGAGCTTTTCAGGAACCGATTAAGTATCACACGCATAAGGAGCTTGAAGCACTGACACACGACTTAGCAAACAGAAGTGTTTGCTGAAGACATAAACGCTGATATTTGGATATCTTTAGAATGTGAACACAAAAGCGTGAGTGGCTTTTCCCCAGGGTGTCCGTGTTGCATCTGGGCCAAGACAGACAGAGGTTTATTTATTTTTCAATCACTGTGTTTGCTTTAAGGCCTTTGTATGCACAGCACCACTGCAAATATAAAGTAAGACATTAGTTCTTCTAAACTAACAGAGAAACAGTAGCAGGACAACATAAAAGTCAAGTTCATTATCTTTTAAGAGGTTTTGTTTAAAGCTTTTAATGTGGACTGATCCTTTTAGGTCCTGTAATGGACGACGAGTGGAAAAACAAAAAAAAGTTGCTTAGATTTAAAAATAAAGAAGTTTTTAATCAAATTAAACTTACAAGTCATTTCAGCTTACAACTTTAAAAGGTGTTGAAACATGATTAACCAATTATTTTAACTTGAATTTTCTAAAATGTACACAAATATGTGTTGTCGTGGCTTACTGATCCATTTATTTACTTCTACGATTATGGGGTGCGTGTAGGAATTTAAATACTACCCTCTTTATTTTTGTTTGTTCGTTTCTTCTTTGCTGGTTATCTAGTCAAAATATCCTTAAAAAAAGATACTAAAAGTAAATGTGTCTGGGGAAAATTTTGAAATCCTTTTAAAGACTACTCAAACTGTGATTTTGCCATATGTTCGCTATTAGAAATGGGCTACCTTTTCAAATTAATATTACCTAGGAAGCTTTCTTATGATTTGTAGCAATCACTGTTTGTTTCCATTTCCAAACCTGAACAAATTTGTGGCAAGTACTCTGTATGATGTAATGGCATGCTTGATTGTTGGTAAACTGTTTCCGCGAAGGGAAAATTACACGTTTGCGGGTTTTGATCTGGGGCTCGAGGGTGCATATATGCATATGCGTATTGTTGCCTGTGTGTCGTTTAATCGTGTTCAGCTAGGCCTCTCTGTCTCTCAACTCCATGCTGTTTAAACCCACCACCCTTATTCTCCCACTCTTGTCACCAGGGTCTTCAAATGGGGGTGATGGTTGCAAAATGTTTTATTAGAGTGGGGACAAGGGCCCTTCAGCCAGCTGAATGGAGGAGAAGTCGAGTGGCACTTTTGTCATGGTAATGTTAAGCACATAATAGTTCAACAGCACAATGCTCAGGCACTTCATTCCTCTAGAGCTCGCTGACACCTCTTCAGAGCCGAACCACGGGGTAGCATGTGGGAAAGATCCGCTGGCCCCTGGTCCCCATACTCTGCATGCCCGTATACTTCATAATCTTTGGGGGGGTAGTCCAAGTCCGCACTTTTTTTTTCTCTTGCGCTCAGTTTCAGTCCATGCAATGGAGCCCAGCATGTGCCTTATGAAATAATGAGAGAGCACTCAGAATGGCCAATAGGATGGAACAATTGAAATCGAGCATTTAAACCAGTCATGTCACTGCGGCCTGTTCAAAAAAAGATGGATTTTTTTTCTTGGTGTAACATTCCTGCAGAGATATTGTTGTGAAATTGGAAAGGAGAGTATTGCATTTTTTAACTGATGTATTTAGCATACATATTTAGGTGATATAAAAAGACAAATGATACATTAGATTTTTATTAAAAATGTATTTACAAAATTATTTTTTAATTTACAGTGTTTTTTATAATGCTACTCTTAACATGTTGAAAAAAATAACATGTTTTGCAAAAGACAAAATTACTTTGGATGATTTAAAATCGTGGATTTTTCTTTTATGCTAAAAATCTTTAGAATATCAAATAAAGATTATGTTCCATGAAGATATGTTGTCAATTTCCTACTGTTAATATATCAAAACTTTTTTATTAGTAAAGTGCATTGCTGGGAACCTAATCTGGGGCGAATTTCTCAAACAATGATATAACTCTGACTGAACTATCATAGTACGATGCATCATTTAGAAAAAGAACGATGTAGTGACTATGGATGCAACGTTATTTCCAATGGAGGGATGTGCACGCAACCAATAAATGCATCAATAATATCCACTGATTTTTATATAGTCAATCAAATTAACTTTTAAAATGGTAACACATATTTATTTAGGCCCGAACTACAAAGCTAAATATAGAATAATTTTAGTTTTAAATAAGAGTGGTTTTGAAATCAATGAATGCAAATAATCCTGTAAATCTTGAAACCGTGATTATTTCTTAGACTATAATCGCACAACCAAAATTTATAATTGTTGCATCCCTAGAAGTGACAAGTGTTTCCCAAAGCTGTAGCTTCTCTGTCGCAGATCCATCATGCAGAAATCTTGTAACCAATAGGCCCATGTCATATACAGATCAATTTTGTAATAAATGAATTAAAAGCATTAATGCATGTTATATATTTTTGTTTTCACAAGCTTTGGAGACATTGTAAATTCCACTTTCAATTACTAGGTCACCTATAGCTTTTGTCATGAGCCACGATTTTGTGTTCAAAATGGCATAAATGTTTTTAAAGTGCTCTATGAAGGGAACGCAATTTTTAATATAAAGGTGCTAAAACTGAACTGTAAAAATACTTTGAAAGCAAATTACACCTAAGAGAGATCACTTCAATTTTGTTTTTATCATTCCAAGTTTAAATGTTAGAATGTTCTAAAGGAATAGGGCATAGGGGGGTAAGTGAGAATATAGAACACAACCAGGAACTATGCATCTAACTACAGCAGAGGTGTAAAGTTTGCAATGCAGTTTGCGAATGTTCGTTGAGACGACGGATTTGGGAAATGTCACATCAACAAACTATTTAACGCAAGAACTTTTAGTTGGATAACAATGGTTTTAGGAAATGCACCCCTGGATAACTGCTAACAAGTGAGAAATTAATCAGTTAAAAACTTAATTATGGCCAAATAATATTCAAAATATGAATAATATATCATAATTAATAATATATATATATATATATATATATATATATAAATGTGATTAATCAAAATACTAATTTCGTATTTGTTTACATGGATGTGATTTGACTATTACATGCAGGGATGGGCAGTATTTATGATACAAGTATTTCAAAAACGTATTTAAAATACAAAATAGTATTTTGAAAATGGCTTAATAATACTTTTGTGTCTTGTATTTTTGTATTTTGACATACTGTAATATACTTTGTAAGAAGTCTGCATGATGACATCATAAAAATGGGGCCTCACATTGACTCTCAGTTATTTGCCTAGGCTTGAGATCAGAACAGACGGATGGATGGAAATTATGCACAGATAAAGAACACAACAGGCAAATGGCATGGATAGATTTGGGAGCAAGTCAAAAATCATTGAAAATGTACTGCACAATGCCAAGACTAGTAATATGTAATGGCAGTATAGTGTACAATTTGGTATCATCTTTGCTTAAAAAATTAGATGAAATAAATTATCAGTCCGTAAGAACTAGATGAGGAGCCTTCAGCACATAATCAATCTCAGTCTCAGTGCTGCAGGTGGAAGAGCAGAGGAACTTTAGATATATAAATAACTTTAAAGATTGTGTACTGGTGTTCACTAAGAGGGTAAACTGGGACGCTTCCAGTTAAAGAAGAACTGAGAAAATCTTAAAAGAATATAGTGTAAAAATAATTGTCGGTTTTAGTTTAGTCGACGGATTGCTGATGTAGATGCTAAGAAAATAAGACAAACAGAATACAAATAAGTTCTTCAGTGGCGATTCCTACAATGCTATATCGGCTGTTTCAAATGCAGCTGATCGGCAGATGCTCTGTACAGTTAATGAAGAGATAGCAAAAAATCTACTTTAAACATGATTTTCTCTGTATTTTTATGTTTTTGAACCCTTAGATAGTTTTATCTGAACCAAATGTTGTCTGCTCCTAACAAATCATACACAAGTGGAAAGCTTATTTATTCATTTTTCAGATAATGCATGTTTTCAGATAATGCATGTAACCTAATTTTAAAAATAGACACTTATGACTGGTTTTGTGGTCCAGGGTCACATTAGATTTTTATAAAAATGTCTATTTATAATGCATATTAAAATTTTAACCTGAACTCATTGCATTTTTCTTATGCTAGAAAATGAAGTTCAGTGCCAGTTCTAAACCAAACAGTTCTACAAAACCGGCCTCCGTAGACTACAGCGAATAGTCCGACTGCTGAACGAATCACTGGCACTACCCTAACTACACTTCAAGAACTGTACTTTTCCAGAGTGAGTAAAAAGGCTCGCAAAATCACTCTGGACAAATCGCACCAAGCACACTACCTGTTCGAACTGTTACCGTCTGGTCGGCGCTTCAGAGCACCAAGCACAAAAACAGCCAGACACAGAAAAAGTTCCTTTTCTCAGGCCATCTACCTCATGAACAGTTAAATACTCCCCAACTGTGCAATAAATATGTGCAATACTTTCTAATACACACTTGTACACAGCACCTTATGTCAATATACAATGCAATACTTTCTACATTCGCATTTGTACACAGCACCTTATAACCTCTATATTTATAACAAACCTGTACATAAAATTCAACATCCAGATTTCTTGACCAACTGCATCTCTGTTTACTGTTTATCGTCTTTTTTCATATTTATTTTGTGTTGACACTTGTCACTTTATGTTCACTGGAAGCTTCTGTAGCCAAAACAAATTCCTTGTGTGTGTGTGAAGCACACTTGGCAATAAAACTGATTCTGATTTTAAACAGAACTGACCAAGCAAGAATGTTAGCATTTAATTTAATATATCCTACATTTTCCTTGTGAATAATGCAGCAATTATCTTGAGGCTGTACACTTTACTTGTTGTGTTTTCAA